CTGACCCAGCCCCTGTGGAGAAACAGCCCCAGGGGGCAGGGCAGAGCGGATGAATAGACTTGGCTCTCTCGGTTCCCTCTCGTGCGTGACTCCTTGCCCCAGGGGACGGAGGGGGCCCACAAGACATCTTGGGGACTCTTCAAGGAAGCAAAACCATTGACTGGTCAGAGCTGAGCTCTGAGCCCGTTGGGGGCTGTCCCGTGTCTCACCAGAAAGGGAAGGTTTTCTAGATCTGCAAGGTGGTCTGGGCACTGGCTTAGCTACTGTTGTATTCTGGTTGTGCCGAGAGGCCCCAGGTGCATTCAGGGCCCCACTGGGCGGGCACGGTGCTAGAGCCTGGCCCTGGCCAAAGATGTAACCGACGGTTCGGGAACTGAGGCCCAGAAAGGCAGGTTGCGCCACGTCTCAGCATCTCCTGGGCTGGGCTGCCCCGGGCTGGGGAGCAGGTGTCCCAAAGAAGGTGCAGCTTTGCTATTAGTACAACACTGATAAGGGGACGTGCACCGCAGCTTTGTTACCTCGTGCAGGGCCGGCCGACTGATGCAGCCCCCTGTTCCGTCCCCTGTTCTGTCTGGCTGTCTTAGGCACATGCCCAAAGCCTCCTGCACGTTCCTGTGTTAGCCTCACACCCCTTGGGACAGTGCGGATGGGGCGCCAAGGCCAAATGGCTGGGAACTGAGGCCCAGAAAGGCAGGTTGCGCCACGTCTCAGCATCTCCTGGGCTGGGCTGCCCCGGGCTGGGGAGCAGGTGTCCCAAAGAAGGTGCAGCTTTGCTATTTGTACAACACTGATAAGGGGATGTGCACCGCAGCTTTGTTATCTCGTGCAGGGCTGGCCGACTGATGCAGCCCATGATGTCTCTCTGTTCTGTCTGGCGGTCTTAGGCACATGCCCAAAGCCTCCTGCACGTTCCTGTGTTAGCCTCACACCCCTTGGGACAGTGCGGATGGGGCGCCAAGGCCAAATGGCCCAGCCCCTCCAAGGTATTTAGGCACCTAACTCCCTTTGGAGAGCTGGCCCAGAGAAACAAAAGGGAGGTATTTAGGTGCACAACAATGCTGATTATCTCAACAGGCACTTGGTGGCATCAGACCTCTGGAAACTTCTGGAAATCTGGCCCTAGATGACTTGACCACGGTCCCGCAGGGTGACTGAGGCAGAGGGCAGAACTGTACCCATGTGTCCCAAGCCCCAGGCTGGTACTCTAACCACTAGAGGATCCAGCCTCTGCTTCGCTCCCTGCTTCTCTTGTTTCCGGACCAGTGCCAGTAAAATGTTGACTTGTTTTGGACCAACTCAAGGTGATGTAGAGGCTAATTTGCAGCAGGTGCCCCATCTCCATGGCTTTTTAACAACCAGTCATTTACTATGCTTGCAACCAGTCAAAAGAAAAACCTGTGTGCTTTTTAAAATTCTGGGTTCTCAAAATGATCCCACCACTACCACCATGTCACAGCTCAGTTCCCCAACCTGATACACCTAGTGCAGAGATGGGGACCCGGCTAGCAGAATAAACTCTGTAAAAAACCCTGAGATCCAAAAAGTCAAAGACTGGTTTGCTTGCTGCTATCACCCAGGTGACTAAAAGAAAATATGAAATAAACCCTTTTCCAGGGAAGAGATCATTTGGAAATCCCTTCACTAAGGCAAAGCTCTCCCCCCTACCCCAACCTCCATTTTGCTTGGAGTTGGGAAAACAAACAGGCAATCCACAAAGAACAATGAGCTCTGCTCCTCCTGGATGATTTAGGCAGGTAGGCTTAAAGACAGAACAATCAACCAATCAAAACAAAAAGGAAAACACTTGTATCATCCAAACTACTGTTGCAAGCAGAGTAAATGACTGGGTGTTAAAAAGCCATTGAGTGAAATAGACTAGGGAAATCCCAGAAATCCTAGGTTACACTACTGTTGCAAGCAGAGTAAATGACTCCATTGAGTGAAATAGACTCGGGAAATCCCAGAAATCCTAGGTTACCAAGAGGAAAAACAACTAGCTCAGACATGATTTCCAAATTCCCTAACAAGAAAAATGATAAAACCTGACGGACTATCTAAACTTTTCCCTACTTACACATTTCAAGAAGTCCATTCCTGGGAAAGCCCATCTCCCTCCATACCTGGAAGAAACTGCTCTGATCTCAAACAAAGAAGAGAAGAAGAAAACCCCTCTGGGTTTGAAATTCCTGTCTGCATTTCATTGGCTGAATGCCCGAGCCCCCTCCCTCAGTTGCTTATTCCTTTCCTCACTTTCAGGTAAGTCAGACTGTCCTTAGCAGCTCCTATTTATGACCCCATGCTTTCGGTCAGTCTGATTGACAAGGCACGCAGCCAAGGAGGGTGGCACGAGGTCAGGGGTCCCGTTCTCCGTGCGAGCTGGAGCTGCCTCAGAGGGACTGAGCTAAGGAGACGGGAGGAGCCTGAAGGGCCAGAAGAGGAACCTGGGAGCTGCGCCAGAGGCAAAACTAAGGCAGGAGCTAGAGCAGCTCGGAGCTGGGTGCGGTAAGAAAGTGGGAAACAGTGGGGGGATCTGGAGAGCCCTGCAAGTCCTCGGCTGCCCGCTTTCTAGTGTGAGAGCATTTCTGTGGATGCAGATGCAGGTGCAAATTCTGTATCCAGGCAGGGCTCTAGGGACCTGGCAAAGACCCAGGGCAGGGAGCGGCCACCGGCCAAGTCGCCTTGCAGGCCAGACGGGGAGGGGGTTGTAAGTCTGAGCTGGTGGGATGCTGGGGGAAAGGGCTCACCCGCCCCCCCAACAGAGCAAGAGTCTGACCTGCAGCATCCAAGCAGCATGGCCAGGGCCCGGGCAGCAGCCTGGGACACGGGAGCAGCAGGCTGCGACCTGCCCCTCCCGTTCCTGCGACAGCTGGTTGCGATGCCCCCGTGGCACAGGGTGGAGCGACAAGTTGCTTTTGCCTGCCTCGTTCTTTCCTTATTGGCTTTCCAATTTAAGATTGTTGCCTAGTCAATTGTGTTTGCTTTGAAGTGTCTGTAGTGAGCAGGGGGTCAGGGAAACACCCAGTGCGGAGGGAGCACCCTGGAGTGGGGACACCCTAGCCCAGGGGCGGGCCACATCCAGCCCACCAGCCAGCTGGATCCGGCCCACGGGCTGCCTGATCTGGCCTGCAGGCTGCCCCACAAGGATCCTCAGGTACAGAGCAGCCAGCTGCTTCAGAGTAGCCCCAGGACACATTAAACGGCT